AGGGGGGGAGGGGGGAGAGGAAGGCACAGATCCGTCTCTTAGCTCCACCCACACCCTCCCCTCCTCACAAACTGAAGCCCAGGATGAGTCCGTTCCTCCAGGCGATGTGGGTGTGCCGGAGCTCCAGGATGCAGTGGTGCTGGGGCTGGGGGCTCCCTGCAGACAATGTGTCCAACTCTGTGGACATGAGGGGCATGAGGGGGTGCATATGAGGGGGTGAGGCCTCTCGTCCTCCAGCGCCCTGGTGGCCTCCCTTCTCCTGGCGGCACATTACCCATAGCCAGGGAGCTCTCCTCCTCGGGGCTATTCTCAGGGTCCACACCGCTGGCTTCAGCAAAGTGCCACAGGATCTTCCTGGCTCTGGTCAGCCGCCCAGTGGCCAGCAGCCAGCATGGGGACTCAGGAAACAGGGCTGGGTACCTGCAGGGGTGGGGTAAGGGTGCCCTCAGGTCTTACCCACAAAGATAACAGACCAATGCCCACTCCCTGGACCTAAGGGCAGGACATCATGTGGCTTTCTGGGTCCCTGTCCCACACCCATGTGCCTGGAGGTACAGAGGGAAGTGACACGTGTGGCCTCCGTGGTGGCTGCTGACCCATGTCCCACCACACTTACCCCCAAAAGAGCATCAGGAGTCCCGTTGCCAGAGCGCTCAGCCCCTGCAGAAGGCGCCAGTCCTGTGCGAGCAGGGCCAGGCCAGGCAACAGCAGAGTGCCCATCACCGAGAAGAGGCCTGCTCCCATGGAGAACACCAGGCGGCGTGGGGGGTCGCACAGCTCCAGGCCTGAACAGACACAGATGGCCTGAGGCCAAGGCCTCTTGAGAGGGAGGGCTGTTCTGTCCAGGACTGTGGGGAGCCGCTGACCTGCCCAAGAACTAGACGTGTGAGGCCAACTCTATGCCCACTCCAGCACCTGAGCCTGTCCACAAACAGCAGTGCTCACAGAGCAAACAGTGCCCTCCCACCTTTTCGAGAAGGGCCCTCAACAGCAGTGCGGAGAGGCCTCCCATGCGGCTGGCGGCCCCTTCCAGTGGGGTTGAAGGCCTAGCTTGGGTGGGTACCCCCTCCATCCCCCCACAGTACTCACGAGCCACGTAGAGGGCAAGGGAGGCCCCTGCCAGAGCCCCTCCATGAAGCAGCCGCAGGGCCAGCAGGGCAGGAAAGCTGGCAGCCAGGGCCTCACCGGCCCCCAGGCCTGTGGCCAGCACCAGGGAGGCCACAAACACAGCCCGGCGGCCAAACCTGGTGGGCAGTGGGGGACGCATATGGAGGCAGGTCAGGACAGCTCAGGCGTTTAGCCGGACCCTGAGGAGTTAGTGGGGAGGGGCATCACCTCACCGGTCACAGCCCATGCCCAGGATGACACAGCCCAGCAGCCAGCCCAGGAGGTGGCTCGTCTGCTCCAGTGGCACCTTCCAGCCATCCTCACACACCAGGTTCCACTGCAGGAGACACACGTCACCTGTCAGCCAGCCAGGACCCTCTCTTACTGGAGTCCCAAGAATGTCAGGATGGAAGGGGGCCCTAGATGTCCTGCTCCAATTCCTCCTTGGAGAGAAGGGAAAATTGGGCAATAGAGAGGGCAAGAGACCTGCTCAAGGTCACACAGTGTGGTCTCCTGACTCTGGTGGGCTTCACATGGAATTGGAACAACTCTTTGTCTGAGCCCCCAGGGGGTAATGATCTGGGGTCCCCAGAGTACCCATATGGAGCCCCAAGTCTGGTTTCTGCTTTTCTCTGGATGTAGTTTCATCCCCCTCTCTCCAGCCCTCACTCTCCTCCCAAAACTGGCCCTTGGCTGATCTTGGTTTCCACCTGCTGTGCCCCAGGCCCCCAGGGCCTCACCCTCACTTCCCCCCTGCCCTGCTCACTTCAAGAGCAATTCTTGGAACAGGCTGCAGGGCCGCGCTCACCTGCTTTTCCTGGTCAAGAGCCCTTGACCTCAGCTTTGCACCACCCCACCTCCCCTTCCAGGGTCATGTGCCTTTTTAAAATAAGTTTAACGTACTTTTTGGGTCACACTATGTCAGTTTTTATTTTAAAATCCAACCACTTGTGAAAGCTGGGGGACGCTGATCGATCGATACACCGACAGGAAGGCAGGTGTGAGGTGGAACAGAATGAGTGGGAGGAGAGAAGCCCAGCAGGTTTGAGGGCCCCAGGCAGGCCTGGCAGGGATGTGGCAACCCTGCCCCAGTTTCCACACCGGGGCCAATCCTCTCAGGAGTGGGGGTGCGGCTTCAGGCCTGAGGCTGCTAAGAGGGAGGCAGGGATGGGCAGGCCCTAGCCCCATGGTGCGACAGGAGGTCCTAGCTGTCCCCTCTCCATTTTTTCCCACCAAGGCCCCAGTTGCCCCCTCAGGAGACCCTGCCTCTAGTCCAACCTGCACACACCTAGCAGGTGGGAGGTCTGCCTTTCACGAACTGAACTGACTGTATTATCCCCTTGATTCAAAGCCTCCTGTCTTGGGAACCCAGTCTTGACACAGCCCAAAGCCACAGGTTGCTCAAATGCTCGTGGCACTGAACTGAACTCCAGGCCCTGCTGACCACCTGGCACCTACCTGGTTCATACCTTCAGCTTAACTCCTCCTCCTCCCCCAGGTTGCCCACCCACCTTGGCAGCCCTTGGGCTTCAGACTCTGCCATCAGGCCTGGCAACCCGCCGACTTGGGCATCAGCTGTACCATCAGAGAAGAGAGGATGGCCCCCCAAATGAGAACCCCAGGAGACCAAGGGCAGAAGGGCAAGTGGGTGGAGAGGCAGAGGAAAGGGGAAGCAGAGGAAAGGGGTACAGAGGAGCAGAGGAGGGGGGACAGAGAAAGGAGAACAGAGGAAGGGGGGCTGGAGGAAGGGGAGAGAAAAAAGGGGGGAACAGGAGGGGAGACAGAAAAGGGTGGACAGAGGAGAGGGGGTGAAGGAAGGGGGAAGGGAGGGGGTACACAGGAATGGGGTCAGAGGACGGGGCAAAGGAGAGGGGCACGAGTGAGGGGTGCAGGAGACAGAGTGGGGAACAGAGAATTGGGGACAGAGGGACAGGAATGGGGGGAGACCAAGGGGGATGAAGGAGGGAGGACGGAGGGGAAAAACACAGCAAGGGGGGATGAAGGAGGGGAACAGAGGCACGGAAGCAGGGGGGGGGGAAGCGTAATGAAGAGCCCAGGCAGTCCTCCCGCACCTCGGTGACTGGGCTGCGCAGCAGGCCGGCGGCAGGCAGAGCGTAGTGCCAGCCGCGTGTGCAGGGGCCCGTGCCGTTGGGGCGGGCGCGGGGCGCGGGCTCGGGGTAGCGCAGGAGCAGGCAGGGGCTCGGAGAGCGCGCGGGGCCCAGGCGCGGCACGCTGGCGTCGAGCAGCGCAGGCCCGGGTAGGGCGCGCAGCGCTGGGGGCAGCAGCGCGGGGTCCGGCCGGCAGTGGTGCGCGGGCAACGCGGTGAGCAGCGGCTCCGAGCTCAGCGCCAGACCCAGCACCACGCATGGCAGCCACGAGGCGGCGGCTAGCAGGCGCCGGGCTCGGCCGAAGCCGCCCGCCGCACGCAACACCCGCACCTCCGGGTCCATCGTCTACCTCTACACCTTGGGGACGAACCTGCCACTCGGGGCCTTTTTGTAGCAGGGGCCCCTTGTGGGCGGGGCCCTGTTTGTGGGCGGGGCCTCGTGGTGGGCGGGGCCTTGAGGGTCTGGGTCGACAGGTGGGCCTAAGAGGGCGCGGAGCCGGAGGAGCGGGGCCATTGAGGGGCGGGGCCACAGGGCGGAGCAGGTCCCTGGTGTGGAGCCAGAGAGGGGCCGAGACCGGGGCGGGGCCTGAGGGGCTTCGGCCGGAGGGCGGAGCCGACAGCGGGGTCATAAGAGGGCAGGGCAGGTGAGGGTCTTTAGTGCCTTGGCCTGGGCCGCAGGGATTGTGGGGGCGTGGTCACGGGGGCGTGGCCGAGAGGCACTCAGGTGCGCGTGGTCCTGGCAGCGTCTGAGCGGTGCGTAAGGCCGGGCGTGGGTCACCCCCGCAACAGGCGCTGTCTCAGGCGTCTTGGAGGCCTCAGCGTCCCGTTGTCGGCCCGAGAGTCCCGGGTGTGTGAGGCGGCCAGGGATCGTGGGCCGGACGCGCACTGGACTCCGCACTGGCCAAGGGTCGGGCCTGCGGAGCGCGGGTTGCCACTGCCCCCCGGCGGCCTGACGCGGCGCTGCAGGCACGGGAGGGAACAGCTCGGACCGTCTTGCTCCAGTGTCCTGCTCTGGCCCTCCTGCGTGGCCACCTTTGCTGCGGCCCGGGCGGAAGTTGTGGTATAGGTAAAGGCAGGCCTTGATCGGTACCCTGCGTTCTCAGAAGTTTGAGGATTATTGTAATTATTCTGCAAAACGAGCTCCGGTTACTTTGTCCAGCTGTGGGTCCTTTCGTGAGCTTGGCTCGGAATGGCGTTGCATTTATGGATTAAGTAGGGACAACCAACACCGTCTTCCATCCCAGGAGCAAGGTAAGTCGCGTTTGTTTTCAGCTTCTGTTTTTCTCAGTGAGTAAAATTGCAGTAGGTCTTATAGGTTGTGCCTAAATTTTTCTAACTAGCTTGCTTCCTTTTGCTTTGTGAGAGAACTGTGGATTTGCATTGTATTTTCTAACTGGCAGTATTTGGAAATACTTTAGAGGTGAAATTCACGTAACATAAAACTATTTTATGCTACCACCACCTTTATCAAGTTCCAAAATATTTTCATCGTAAAAGAAAACCTGGTACCCATTGAGTAATCAGTCCCTATTTCCCCTCCTCCACCCCCACCCCTGGCAACCACCAACCATACAAATATGTGACATTTTGGGTCTGGCTTCTTTCACTGAGAATAATGTTTTCAAGGTTGACCTACATTGTAGCATCTATTCAGGACTTCATTCCTTTTTATGGCCGAGTAATATTCCATGTATAGATTGGTCACATTTTGTTTATCCATTCATCTATTGATGGACATTTGGGTTGTTTCTACTTTTTGCCTATTGTGGATAATGCTATGAACATTGGTGTACAGCAGGTCCTCGAATAATGTTGTTTCGTTCGAAGTCATTTTGTTATAACGTTAATGAGATGCTGTAGGAACTTAATTCTTGTTTATATCAGTTAGCCTATGGTAAAATTGGTTTTGTTATGCGTCATTTCACTTAAAGTCGCATGCAGAACCTACTGATGATGTTATATGAGGACTTACTGTACAAGTATTTGTTTGAGTATACCTATTTTCAGATCTTTTCAGTGTATACCTAGGAGTGAAATTGCTGAGTTATGTCGTGAGTCCATATTTAACTTTTTAAGGAATCACCAATTTTCCACAGCGGGGGGCCTGTTTTACATACCCACCAGCAAAACATGAGGATTCCAATTTTTCCACCTCCATGCCACTACTTACCTTCCATTAAAACAAAAACCAAAAAAACCAGAACTATACTCTTCCTAGTGGATGTGAAGTATTTCATTGTGGCTTTTTTAATTTGCTTTTCCCTAATGGCTAGAGATGTTAAAAAATATTAATGTGCTTGTTGGCCATGTGTATATCTTTGGAGAAATATCTGTTCAAATCCTTTGCCTATTTTTTACTTGGGTTGCATGCCTTTTTGTTTTTCAGCTGTAAGAATCCTTTACGTACTCTGGTTACTAGGCTTTTCAGATATATGATGTGCAAGTATTTTCTGCCATCCTGTAGTTTGTCTTTTCACTTTCTTGGGAGTGAAAAGATTTTAACATTGGTAAAGTTCAGTTTTTTCCTTTATGCTCATGCTTTTGGTGTCATATATAAGAAACCATTACCAAATCCAAGATCATAAAGATTTACACCTGTGTTTCCTTTTAAGCATTTTATAGTTTCATGTCTTAGATTGAGGGTTTCAATCCAAATTGAGTTAATTTTTGTATATAGTATGTGATAAGGGTTCAATGTCATTGTTTTGCATGTGGATATCCAGATTTCCCAGCACCATTTGTTGAAAGACCTATCCCATTGAATCATGTTAACACTCTTGATGAAACCAATTGTGTGATTACTATTTGAACTCTCAATTTTATTCCATTGGTCTACATGCCTGTCCTATGCTGGTACTACACTGTTGTGATAACTGTACCTTGGTAGTATATTTTGAAATTTTTTCGAAATTGTTTTGACTAATTGGGGTCCCTTGAGATTTTATGTGAATTTTAGGATGGGTTTTTCTTTTTCTGCAAAAAATGTTTTTGGGATTTTGATAGGGATTGCATGAAATCTGTTGATCACTTCGCATAGCACTGATATTTTAAGAAGATCAAGTCTCCCAGTCCATGAACATAAGATGTTTTGCTATTTATTTTTTTTTTATTTTTTATTTTTTTTATAATGTTTATGTTGCTTTTTTTTTTTTTTTTAAGATTTTTATTGGGGAATTGGGGGGATGGGAACAGTGCTGGGGAATTAGGGAAAGGGGAACAGACAAGTTGCTGTCGTTTTGTTCTTCAATCTAGTTGTGGAGGACGTTGCTTCACTGGCCCAAGTTGGCACCATCATTGCGCTCTTCTCTGGCGAGGCAGATCAGTCGCCGGCTTCTGGACGGCCGCTCACTGCGGCTGCTGGCCACACACGCTGGCTGCTGGCCACACACGGTAGCCCATGGCAATCCACTGCCACAGGGACTGCAGCCCACGCCGTCGCCGGCGACTCATGGCAGCCCAGCTCCAGGTTGAGCTGTTGTTCAGCATCTTAGCTGTGGAGGGCAGTGTCACTGGCCCTCATATGTGGGATCCGAACCGGGGCCCTCTGGCATCCCAAGCGAGTTCTTAACCATCGCGCCACTCGGCCGGCCCAGTTTTGCCATTTATTTGTCTTAATTGTTTCCATCAATGTTTTGTAGCTTTCTGCATTCCAATTCTTTCACCTTCTTAATTAATTCTTAAGTATTTTAGTCTTTGTGATGCTATTGTAAATGAAATTATTTTTATAATTTCCCTTTCAGTTTGTTCTTTTTTTTTTTTGCTTTTAGTAGTTTATTATTTATTTAGGTATTGATTTCTTTGAGTTTATCCTCTTTAGTTTGCTTAGCTTCTTGAATCTGTTAGTTTATATTTTTTGCCTAATTTGGCATTTTTCAGCCTTATATTTCTGAAAATTTTTTCAACATAATTCTCTTCTCCTTGCGGGACTCCAACAACGTGAATGTTAGCCTTATGTTCCCCAGGTACCTGAGGATCTGTTCATTTTAAAAAATCTTTTTTCACATTGTAATTCAGGTTGAATATCTATTGATTTCTCTTCAAGCTCACTGTATCTTTCCATTCTGCTATTAAGTCTGTACAGTGAGCTTTTTGTTTTGCTTTATTTTTCAGTCCTAAAATTGAAACTTGGGTTTCATTTGTGTCTTCTATTTCTTTTATGAGATGCTGTATTTTAACATCTGTTTAGGGCTGGCCGAATGGTGTGTTGGTTAAGAGCTGGCTTGGGGACACCAGCTCTGAGCAGCAGGTTCCCGGTTTGAATCCCACATGCGGGCCAGTGACGCTGTGCCCTCTACAGCTAAGATGGTGAATAACAGCTCGACCTGGAGCTGGGCTGCTGTGAGTCCCTGGCAACAGCGTAGGCTGCAGTGGGCTGCCATAAGCTACTGTGAGTGGCTGGCAGCCGGCGTGAGCTGCCAAGAGCTACCGTGAGCTGCCAAGAGCCACCATGAGTGGCAATCCAGTGGCCGGTGACCGATCTGCCTCACCCGGGAAGAGCACAGTGATAATACCAACATGGGACAGTGAAGCGACATCCTCCACAACTAGACTGAAGAACAAAAGGACAGCAACTTGTCTGTTCCCCTTCCCCGATTCCCTAATAAAATCTTTAAAAAAACCCAACTTTCCTCCAACATAGCTGTCTCCTTCCCCTCCTTTGTGCTATGAATTACAAGCCCACCAACACAAATTTGTAATTATTGCTTTTGAAGTTGTTTTTTAAGACATAATAGTTAAAAACAAAAATACACTTATACTTTCTTTTGTGTTTATCTATAGTTATCTTTAGTGATTTATCTCTTAATGTGAATTCAATTATTATTTAGTGTTTTTTCTTTTCTTTTTTTTTTTTAGCTGAGCCATCCTGCCAGCTGTTGGCAGCTCAGTGGCAACTCAGCTCAGGCCGGGCATCAAACTGCTGTTGCTCAGAGCTCAAACCCTTGAGCGAGCTCTTAACCAACTGAGCCACTTGGCCGGCCCTTATTTAGTGTTTTTTCAATTTAGCCTGAAGAGTTGGGTTTTTTTGGGGTTTTTTTTTTTTTAAGTATTTCTTGAAGGACAGATATGCTAGCCAAAAACTCTGTTTTTGTTTATCTGGAAATGTCCTAATTTCTCCTTCATTTTTTTTTTTTTTTAAGATTTTATTGGGGAATTGGGGGGAGGGGAACAGCATTGGGAATCCGGGAAGGTGAACAGACAAGTTGCTGTCCTTTTGTTCTTCAGTCTAGTTGTGGAGGACGTTGCTTCACGGGCCCATGTTGGTATTATCATTGCACTCTTCCCGGTGAGGCAGATCAGTCGCCGGCTGTTGAATGGCTGTCCACAGCGGCTCACGGCAGTACA